ACACATCTGTAATAAAGTTTGTTTTGCATCAAAGATGTTCGTTTATCTTGCCCCTGGAAAATAAAATTATTATTGTACCTTTCAGAAACATTTTAATGCAATGTTTATTTAATAAAGTTTAAGAAATATTCGAAATTTTTTTTAGTTTGAAAGCCCATGATTTACTTGCCTATATGTATGGTGAGTGATTAAACCTTGCTAAAAAGGATATTTTTCGTAAACATGAACTATTAAAAATTTAAGACATAAACCTAATAACTCCGCAAGTTTCTCTTTCTCTGTTAAATGGATTTTTTATGTAGCTCTAAGGTTCATTCCTGTGAAAGAATAACGAAACAAAGAACTTTTATTTTCATTTCTTTGAAAGGGTTTTGTTAAATTACGATAGTCTAGGTTTCTGGGGTTTAGAGTAACTTCATTTGCATAACTGAATAAACAAAATACCTGAGATATTGACTTGATGTATATCAATGCCATGGGTATAGCTGTCAAAATTGGTTTCGAATGATAAACAAGGTTCATCAGACGTGCAGTAGTCAGATTCAATACTGGATTTACTGGAATGAGTGCCTGCGAGGGAAAAAAAATATATTATCTAAAATTTGAATATGTGAACATAGCGAGATTAAAATTACGTTAAAACATAGCAATGAAAATTAATAATTAAAAAAATCTGAAAGAGTTCGCATTTTAATGATCCCATAAAGTGCTCTTTTAAAGCTTAATATCGATAGAGACTATTAATCGAGATGGCCCAGGTGGGATAGCGAAACATTTTATAGTATATTAGATGAATATGCATTTAGACTAATACGGAACGTTATATATCTTCTGTATATTCAAAAAGCAAAAAATATGTAATGTAATTCTATAAAAATATTTGATGTTCTTAATTAGACATATCATGAATTAAATTTTCATTTAAATTAGTCAGATTAAAAAGTAAAATAGTAATATTCTTAAGAACTATATTTGCTGCTTTGAAATAGTTTAGTTTGTTAACAGACATATTAAATATAAAAGAATAATATCTTTCGTTTTTTCGGAATGGCAATAGACTCGAATGAAAGCGAAATAACGCTTTAAAGTGAAAAACGCAAAATCGTGTTTCGAAGTTAAATGGCCTTTTGGGATAATAAGCGAAATTTACATTTTGCTTTAATATATTAAATATTTAACACTTTGTTTTCTACGTAGGATTTTCTTTCAATTACCTTAAGAATGAAGAAATTTAATGTTTTAAATACAATTTAAGGAAACGTAAAACATTTTTCGAAACATAAAGTGTCAATATTAAATAATTCCATTTAAAAAAGATTATAAGGTATTTCTCCATCTTTCCTAGCGTGTCTTTGTGGTGTATTGATTCTGCACGTTGGGCAGATATTCCAGAGGTCCGTGGTTCGATTCCCGGGGAAGGCGATTGCTAATTTTTCATCTTTCCGACCTCGAATTAACCTGATGTCTCTACAGAGATAGTGCAACTTTCTTTGCAGAGATAGGATCATATTTTTGAAAAAGAAATAATGAACGAATTTTAATTTGGTTTAGTTTTTATTGTAAAAGCTTTGAAAATGAACCACTGATTTACATCTTTACAACTTGATACAGTCTGTATGTAGAGACCAGGATTTTTGGAAGCCAGAGAGATGAAAAATTACAACCGCCTTCGCCGAGGATGAACACGACTTTGGAATACCGGCCCAGCGTTTACTTACCCACAAAGGCACGCTAGGGAAGTGGGAAAAATACCTTATATGTCTAGTAAAATTGGTTATTTCTTACATTACGTTTTAAATCCCAATTAATGAAGAAGGTAGAAGCTTGCAAAATTAAGTAAGAACTCTAAAAAAACAGGGAATAAAATGCTTAAATTTAATTTGATTTCAATTTCCACAGCAAACAGAAAATTAATGTTATTTATATGCACTTAGAAGTATGACTAATTATGTATTATATTAAAAATATCAAATTAAACTGTGTTCATAGAAGAATTTTCAAATAAAAATTTGTGTTTTCCATCCTTGAAGAAAGGGAGTCAGATTTAGTGGCATGATAGAAAAACTGGCAACTGATTTCTCAAAATTTTAATAAATTGTGCAGTTTTGGGACTTAGAGTTTCAAAATGCCTTCATATATAAACAAAAGAATTATGCTGACTTTTTTCCATCTTTTGAAGTTTTCACATAGAACTTGAAGCAATTTCAGCTTTTTTGCTGAAGAAGGTCCTCAAATTCTCCTTGCTTATTTCACATACGGTTTTGTAATTTATTTCGCTCAACTCCGACTTCTGTGAATTATAAGATACGTTTATTTAAAATTTTCGTGATAACACTCCCGCTGTACATAATGAAGTCAATTGGTTGAAATTGTCTTCAGCCGAATCAGAAAGAAATTAAACAGTTTAAATTTATTGGAGAGCACAACATCTAAAACACTTTTTTCTGAAGGCGACAAAGGGCATAGAAGGATTAAAAATTTATACCTTCAGAATAATTATCTGAGATATCTTTATGGAAAAAATGAATTCTTATTGCTTCAAATTTTAAATTCTTCTTCTGAAAAGTATTCTACTTTTTAGTCCAAAGGGGCTTTGTCCCTGAAGGACTATGGTTTTCGTTTTGCGATTTTGCGTTGGTTCACTATAAATGTCCGTTTCCCTTTTCAAACGTTCACAAATGTTAAATACTGCATTATTTAGAAATTAAATAATGAAAAATTGCATAAATGTATGTATATTTCTCTCACTGTGTAACGGTACATAGGCATCGAATTTGAAGACGTAATCCTAATGAATGGGCTGTGTTTGAAATTTTGAATGGTTTATTATATTTCATTTTGTAAATCTAACGAATTTTGATTACAACCAAGGATGCAAAGAGAGCATGGAAAAGGTACAGAAAAAAACATTTTGATCTCCAGCGCGTGAGACTGCTTATCGGAAATTCTAAAGATATGCTCAATTTAAAACTATTTTGCGATATTGCTCTTGAACTGAATTTTATGGTTTAAGTGCCAAGAACTTGATGTTTAATAAATAAAGGTAACAGACAAAATGTTAAAAGAAATGCCCCTTTAGACGTAATTTAAAATCTGAAACCTTTCAGATTTTTATTGTTTTTCTCATTTAAAACTTATCTTTTCTTTCTGAAGAATTAACCATGTGGATTATTCAATAAATTGTTGCCTGTACTTCTAGAATATTGAGAAGACTTATCTAAACAGCAGAGACAATTCTGGAAAATACATGACTTATGAAAGTCTTAAATTAAACTGTTACTCACCATTTCTCATTTTAACGCATCCACTGCCAACAGAAGACGAGGAATTTGACTTAGATCTCCTAAACCAGGAACTAAAGTATCCACATTTGAGGGAGTCCAACAAAGATGTTTTGCCCACACCACTATGGCCGAGGACTTTCAGCTGGATACGAGTGATTGGCTGAACAGATGCTGTCAATTGATTGATATAATCCTCTCTCTGTTGCTCCTGAGGCATTTGGAAAGAAATCTTGATTATGACAGGCATATTATGACAGTTTTATCTCTTAGGTTATGACTGACAGTTGTATTTGATATTGACACAAAAGAAAAACTTACATTTTTTAATCTGTTCAGAATATCTGCTATATCGTTATAGCCCTGAGCAAGAGCCGATATTTCTGCTGGTATTCCCTCCTAAAATTAAGTTGTTTCAATGATAAATATCATTCACAAAATTATTATACAAAAATATCTTACAATCACAGATTACAATTTCACCATTTTGTTACAAAAATTTATTATACTACATATGTAGCCCCTGGAAGCTCTAATACATTAAAAATCTGAACTATAGTATGTTTTCGCGGCAGTCTTGCAGAAGAAATCTGAGGTCACCGTTGTTATTTTAATCCATAAAATAATAATCGCAGGATATAAGGCTAAAATTACCCATCTGGCTGGCAGTCACTCGAGAAGAATTAAGACTGTATTTCTTTCATAACTAAGACTGCTATTTCTTTCATAAGACTCATTTTCCATTCATAAGACTCATTCATAAGACATTTCATTTTTAAGACTTCATTTCTAAGACTGCTATTTCTTTCATACGTATATCAAATTGAAAAACTCATTATTTTGCGATAACATGAGAAAAATAAGATATTTTATTAAAAACAGGTAAATATTTCAAATGACAAAAATACATCATCCTCGTTTTCTAAAACAGCAAAGGTCGTTGGTGTAAACAGTAAAAAAACTATGGTACTAGTTTTCAAGCATTTATTAATCAGTATACTGAATAACTTCAAAATGATATAATACACAGAATTTTTATCAGTAATATATCAGCAGCGACTAATTTTGTTAACAAGATATTCATATTTGTTTGAATATAACTTGTGTTGGTTCATTTTTAAAAGGCTCATGAGTTATGGAATAAAGATTCATCCATACATTGATTCTGATATAGATTCCTTTTACGCCAATGAGTTTTTTTTATTGTCAATATTTTATTGAAAATAGATCTTTTAATTTCTGATTTTAATTTAAATACATCCCCCTTTAAAATTCCGTACTGCACCATTTTCGTCATCATTTTTATCCGCATTGCTGTACGCTTTTGCCCAATCGCTATTCAAGATTCAAAAAAAGCATTCGGAGCTTATAAATTAACCGCATAGCAATTTCAACTGTTGTAACAATGTGATTTGCGTATGTAAAATTACGGGGTGCAGATTGCACCCATTGTCCTGTGTTCATCAAGAAAAGCCTGCACAGAATTTTTCTTCCTTTGCTCACGCTCTAATGCTTTCTTTTGAAAACTCTTTTCTACCGCCATGCATTTTTGTCCTTGAAGGGGGTAGATATGTAAGATATAAAATATGAAAGAAAATATCTAATTAAAATGACAATGGACCTTTTAATTTCTGATTTTAATTTAAATACATCTCCCTTCAAAAAATATGTACTGCACTATTTGGGACATAATTTTTATCCGCATTGTTGTTTGCTCAATCGCTGTTCAGGATTGAAACAAAGCATTCAGATTTTATAAATAACTCCAGCTGCTTAATATATAATTTTTCTTCTCTGCTTTCGTTACATAAGCATGTAATTAATTGACAATTAGTTTGGCAACTAAACTGTTGTAACAATGCGATTTGCGTATACGAAATTGCGGGGTGCAGATTGCACCCATTGTGCTGTATCATTCAAAAAGCTGTAGTAATCAGTCATCAAGTAATAAAAATGTATTATGAAAATTTCATTCATCTACGCAACAGTTTCACGCTATCGTCTATCGTGTGCGAGCTACATCTTTCACACTCTGGCTATGATTAAAAAATAATTGGTGCCTTTTGCTTTTTTAGTTAAGTTATCTGATCTTACTGTCCAAAATTATCCCATGCATATATTCATACGTACACGCGTATTTGCTTTTCTATATACAAGAGTGATACTATAATTTAAAACTATTTGCTGTTTAAACTACCACGGAACAGAGCAATAAAATCTATAAATGAAAATAATTAAGTAACACACAATTTGTTTTCAAACCATACGTAAGGGATTTCAAATGGTTAAATCATAGAAATGGTCGCTAGTGGGTTGCTTTAGTGATCAATGGCGCGAAATGAAGTTCCCTCATGGCAAATACGATTGCCCCAGTATTTTATTTTCAGTCGAATTTTATGCAGATATATTTCAATAATTCATGTTATCTTAAACCTACAGTCAAGCGGTTTATTCTCAGTCAAGCAAACCGGCATAAATATGAAACCAGCAAATATTTTATGTCCTTGTCAATCCGCATAGCAATACCGCAAGATTCAGCGAAGCATGGTGTTTATCAATAGCCATCTGAAGGCTGAAGAAGCGTGAACCCACATACTTCACAGAAACTTAAAATATGATTAATTCAAAATAGAAAATATTTAAAATTCCGGATGTATGCGGTTCACACTTTAGAAAATGCAGAATCCATTTTGTCCGGTTTCAGTTCAATGAATTACCCGTCAGCTACTATGGTAAGGAATCATATTTCAAATATTTCCTAAATACTGCTCATATATTATGTAGAAGAACGTAATTTTTGGGATCTCATTTTGTACGAAAAATCTAAGTAACTATTGGAAGGAATCCTAGAATCGTTAAAAAGCTACCGTATGCAGATTTGAAATTCGAGTGACTGGATAATCTTTCAGATGCATACGTTATTATATGCGATTATGTGATCTAATCAGATACATTATTATATGCGATACTAACATCATAGCTCTCCATTACATTGCAAATAATATGTGCTTTTTATTACTTAATATATCTGGATTGAGCATTCTGTTGAGCACAGCTGCTTCTAGATTTACGTTAACAGACAAATGAATCGAATATGTAATTTTACAAAAAACGTAGTACCAGAATGTTACTTTTGCAGCCGATCAGAACTCTAGTGGAATTTTTTTATGTTTTGCCTTTAAATGTACAAAATGCTCATTGCAATCAGTGTAGAAAATGTAAATTGCTAGAGTTTTATAGGTAACTTAAATTTAATACCCAGTGAGATTTAAATTTTGCAGGACCATATGATTATTCAATATTCTGAACTTGGCAAGGCCTTCAAGTTCGAATTCCGAAGAGGGCATGGATGTTTGTAAGCACATAGTGTTTGTGCGGCAAGAGGGTACCCAAAATACACGGTGAACTGGAAGTCCTCTAGAGATGTTAGTGGAAGGGGAAAAGGAATGGGATATTATCAGATCGCCCCTCGGGGTGTTCTCCCTCAAAATTGTGGCAGAACTGCACAAGTAGCGTGGTGGTCTGCATCTGTATGACCAATGGTGAAATTCTGTTGTCCTGCCTACTTCTACCTTTAACTGTTATGTTTTTACCTGGGTCAACTTCTTAAGTTTATGTTAGCTAACATGTTATTTTTATGTTAATTCTTTTCTTTAATTTATGTTTATTCTGCTAACCATCATTAGAATATTAATTAGGACTGCGCATAAATAGCAACGCATTTGTGATATTCATAAAGTAAATGATCCATCATATTTACTGTCTGTCGTCCATTGTACCTTTCAGCCAGTTTCCTTTCAGGCAGACTGCCAGGAATCTCGTAACCTTTAATTACGATGTAAAAGTTAATACTTTTACTTTGAGTTTTGAAGGCATGTTCACTAAGATTCATTTCAAATTTACGAAATTCAAAATTTAAAAATAATCTGTAGAATTTTCCCCTCCTTTTCCCTGAGGAGAAAAAAAATACATAAAAAGATCTACTAAGATTCTTCTTTTTTGCCTAATTTTTAATTTTAAATTGGCATGTTCTTTAATTTTATATTGTCATGTTCTCTTTCAACGAAGGACGCCCTTCAGGTATTAAGACTAGGGGTTCAATATCGGTCAAATAATTTCCAAAAACGTTATGAATCCTTCATAGACGGGTTTTTGTATTTAAAGATATTAAAGAGGTCATAAACAAATTTCTGCCTTTTCCTAATTAAAATGCTGTGTTTTTTGTTATATTTATATTAAATTAGTTTACTTCCATCGCTTTTTTTTTACTCATCGTTCATTGTTACCAAAATAGCCGTGGACAAACGTGATCACATTCAACGGCGCTTACTATGTGTGATAAATTACTCCATATTGAGAAAGAATAAAATTAATCATTTGGAAAAGATTATCTGCTGCTTTCCATAAAAAATACCTTTGTTATTATAGAAATGTGATTCTTGATTTTTAATACATAAAATACTCTAGTTTCAGAGCATACATTTGGTGTTCACATTAATACATATTTGATGACCTCAGTCAGGCTACATCTTAAACAATAATTCTGTAATTATCAATATCGAAATTTATTTACGTGTTCATGAAATACTTGTCACATTTAGAATTGGTCATCTTAGTCATGAAAAGATTCACTTTCTCTTTCCCTTGACGGAGTTAAGAATTTAAATTCAATTCAATTAATTTAAATTTAATTTTGTTTTGAACAGGTTGGATTCATAAAGAATTATAAAGTCCATGAAAATTTAAAAAAACTATTGCAGATAGCCATAAACTATCTTTGGAACATATTCACTTCCAAATACATTTGAATAATCATACTTTCATGGTTTTATGCTTTTTATATTAAATCTGCTATATTAAGTACACCATTATTTGCAGTTCCTAGAAATACGTGGAGTTAGAACAGGTTATTAGAGGTTAAATTACTTGTTTATAATTGGCAGCTGAAATATAGATAAAAGCTTATAAATAAAAATATGAACATACTCTATTCTTTTGGTCCACAATACATCCAGCTATGCAGAGTGTTCTCACTATTTCGATATGTCCATTTTTGGCAGCAAGGTGAATAGGATAAAATCCCATCTGAAATGGTAAAAAATAAATAATTTTGCAGTATGAACAAAAAGGTTATAATATGTTCAAATCTTCAAACCTCTCTTTCGTAAAAATGGAGCTGCTTACAGGGAGCTTTATTTCGAAAATATGAATACACATCTGGTTAAAGTATTTTAATTTTTAAGGTATATTAATTTTTTAATATTTAAAATTTGTTTTTAGTCCAAAGGAGCAGATTGCCCTGAAGGACTATTAATTTCGTTTTGTTATTTTGTGTTGGAAACTATATACGGTGAATTACTTTTCAAATTGTTGCCACCAAATATTATCGCCCTGTATTATATTTAAAGAAATTAAATAATGAGCAATCTGCATGAATGTATGTATGTTTCTCGCATTGTGATAAAACAACGGCACCTAGAGCCATCAAAATTCGAATAACGTAATCTTCCATAGAGTATGGGCATGTGAAAGCCCTAATTTGAATTTGAAATTTATTTTAATTATCGATTTCACATTTTGTAACATTTCAACAAATTCAACAAATAAAAAACTAAACGATTTCAAAGCGAGCAATGGCAACACTGTACGAAAAAAATATTTTTATCTTCAGCGCGCGAGACTCTGTATCCGAAATTCAAAAGGTGAGGCCATTTTAAAATTATTTTGCGATATTGCTGTTGAACTCAATTTTATAGTTTGAGTACGTAGAACATGATATTTAATAAATAAAAGTAACACACAAAACGTTAAAAAAAGCCTCTTTGGACGTAATTTAAAATTTGAAACCTTTCAGATTTTTTATTTATTTTATTCGAATTAAATTTAAAGGAAATTGTTTACCTATTATTTAATGTAAAAAGTTAAAAAATTATTTAATAATGTTAAATGAATTTTTCTGTCAGTAACACACATGAAATGTCAGTTATGGGAAATTCAAGTATGGTAATTCTTGATTTTATATTTTATGAGGGAACTGAAAAAAATTTGCGAAAGCTTATAATTATTTTTTTAAGAAAAGCTTATAATATAAGACCGAAAAGTGGAATGTGTATAAGAAGAATACATTGAAAATGTAGAAAATTTTAGTCAGCTGAAGAAAATTTTAGAAAAATTCTATTTGTAAAACTGAAACTCTTGCCGAAGACTTTTTGAAGTTTTGGCGGGAAAAGAAAGTAAATAAAAAATAAAGATTGAAATAAATGTTCAGTCTGTCTTCCCTTTACCTAGACACTAAGCTTTCAGTCAGAAGTTTTAAATTAATAATAAGTCACGCATTATTTTTCACACATGTAGTAGTCACATTCAAATATGTAACATACGATACATTTTAACGTGTAAAAGTTAATAGCGTTTGAGAAATTCTAAACAGTATTGCTTTACCTGCGCATGAAATTTACATTCATTTATTAAATTTTTAATTAATTTTTTTTTATCAAATGTGTAAAAGACATGAATAATTGTAGTATTTAACTCACTATACGGTATTAAACAGTAGATAGTAATATCTAAATGTATTAATTATTCTATTCATAATCAAAAACAATTAATCCTACTGAAATTTTCCATTCAACATCAGTATTTAATGAAATAAAATCCTCATATTATAAATTTATCTTAATTTCAGGAAAATAGTCTGAACATTTTTTCTTTACCTTGTTTGGCACATTTACTTTAGTTCCTGACGCGCACAGAGCCTTAGCCAGTGATAATAACCCATCTCTACAGGCAATATGGATTGGTCCTTCTCCTTGCTACATAGAAAAAACACTATATCAGTTCATGAAATTGTTTAACCCACAGAAAATAGTATATTCAGTTCATAATATAGTTTAATATCAAAAACAACTTTAAGGTGATACAGCTTTTCAGAATTTTTACCATTAAATATAATTTTTCGTTATAAGTTAAAAAATAGGTTGAAATAATTGTGACTTTAATTTGTAATACCGTATTACCGTATTTCCTTCGCAGTTTTCTCCTTAGCTTTTTAACGAGAGGTTTTGAAAAATTTTTAATTTGAATAATTTTCTCCATTCTCATAACGTTTAGAGAAAGAGATCCACTAAATTTTAAAAAATGTTTTTGTCTTAGTAACAAAAATAAACCCTTGTAAACTATCTGCGAAGGTCACACCAAACCTTTCTCTTCTAACTGTTGAAATTTATGCCAGCCTATTACTAGAACGGATCCATCACAGCAAAATAAACACGAAATGACATTCTGTCTACTATTTCGCTGAGTCACAGCTGCACATTAACTTTCTCTTCTTATTTATGGATCATCGAGGCCTAAGAAATAGCAAAGATAATAATAAGAATGGGCAATATTCAAATTACAGTAAAGTAGAAATGAAGATATCTTATTTGAAATTGTTATGTTAATATTATTATGCATATTTATTGGAATATAGGTTTCTTTTAAAGAAATAATATTGTAATAGTTACCTGTAGTATATCCACGGCTACATTTCATTTGTTATGTTTTACTGTAATTGCCTTCTTCGGAAATTAAATTATTTGCATAATTTCTGCCTCGATTTTCGGATGATAAAACAAGTAAAAAAAAATAAGGGGAGGGTAAACACATGAGGAAAATACGGTGGCCCCTTAATAATAAAAGAAAGTTCATAGTATCTTTTTGTTGATTCTGTGTCTCGACAAGAACTGGTTCATAAATGACATTTAAGGACTACAATAATTATTATAACAGAATATGTCTGGTTCAAAATCTAAAGAAAATAATGGGAATGCTGCCATTTAAACTTAGAGATTAAACACATGAAGTGTTGCAGTCGCAGAATTTTTTAAATGTATAGTTTTGTAAAACGTTTACTATTCTACAAATTAATTTTTAAAATCTAATCATATACATTTTTCAATATATATTACTTTATAAGTCTTAAAACTAAAGAAGCAAAGTAAACAAAAAAATATTGTAAACTTACATTATCGAAAACATCAGTTTGGCATCCTGCTTGCAACAGCAAAAATGCAACGGCTTCATGATGTCTTCTCATAGCCAAATGCAGGGCTGTATTTTCACACTGCAGTAAAAAAAAGGAATATTTAAGTCTCAATAATAATTTTTTTTTGGCACTACTATTTTCTACACCAGAATTACATTTTAAAGAAAAATATTATCATTTTGAGTTTAATTTGGATAATTACATTACTTTGTAACGTTATTACTTAAATTAACCAGTTATTTATAATTTCAACTTTTACTACAACTTCTCCTTTCCGTTTCTTCAGCAAATGCAAATGAGTTAGATAGTATTTAAACTGAGGTTTTTGTAGTAAAGACAGAACGTATTTCTGGCTTGTGCGTGTTAGCTTCCTTTAGTTCCCACCAGTTCTAATAGTTGTAATTATTAGACTTTGCGTTATATGTTATCGCTGCCGACATTTAAATTGGATATGCCAGTAGAATTATTCAGCCAGTTTCGAGCATATTTAAATAGAGTAGTCCTTGACCGCTAATCCAGGTTTTGACTGTTCCTTTAGTTGCACCATCACAAGCTGTAGTCGATTTTGTTAGCATAAAAACGTGCATTTATATTTTAATTTATGTTTAAATAAAAATTTTTATTTATACGTTTCTGTGACTCTGTAGTTACTTTTCAACATAGCGATAATTCACTTGCGTCTGTTAGGGCTTTCGGACTAATTAACTTTTACCAGATCAAGATAAACCTCGTAACTTTTTATCTTCATTTTCTTCCATATATTCCTATTTCGACTTTCTACTCGTATGAACTTTCAACAACTTATTCTTTCAGCTGTATAAAAGCAGTTGGTAAACTACGGCTTTCCGATAATCATTTAGTTTTTTTTTTACTTCCTTGTACGAAGTAAAAATTGTAATTGCGAAAAGTTTTAGGCAGCATATTTCAACGAAAATATCCATTCTGACCGCTATCGAATGCAATTTAACAATGTTTTTGCGTGACACCGTACGTAAGGACAGAATAAAGGATTCCTTTCCCCCTTTCCTTTAGAATAAAGGATTAGATTAAAGGAATCCTTAATCCTTATAATGGATTCCTTTACGAAAAAATTGTAAAACTAATTTAACATGAATTCTGAAGAGAATTTTTCGTGGTGTCTGTACGTACGTACCTACGTATGTATCTCGCATAACTCAAAAACTCAATTTTGTATATAGGACTGCTATAACATGCAGATGTGCACCTCGTATTTTGGTTGCAATCGGCCGCACCAAACGCAATATATATATATATATATATATATATATATATGTAATAATAAAAGCAAAGGAAATGAGACGGAGCAGTGTAGATGCGTGATTAGACCCATATTGAAGAAGATTTTGATTGCGCAGTATGCTAGTAATGCTAACTTGGTAATATCTAAAGAACTTGGCAGTCGAGGAAGTTTTAATTCCATTTTTATTTCCAATTGATATTTGTGGCCACAATCACTTTGGCACTCTAGTTATGCCTATTCAAGAACATTACATTTTTGATATAATTGAGAAGGAAAGCAGGCCAGCGAAATTACATCTTAGCAGAGTAGAGGGCAAAAGCTGAAGTGCGTAGTTATGCAAGATGGAAGCACGCGAAGAGAAAAGTTTTGGTTTACAATTCAGTGATTGGTTGTCAAGAGGCATCTGGTATTAACGGTTATGTAAGATCGCATGATTAATCTGAATGACGCAATGCAGATAAGTTATTACGATTTTAGAATAGAGAGGAAGAATTAATGGTTATAGTTATATTATAATTCTGATTCATATATTTTTATCTTACATATTCCCCCCTTCAAAAAGAAAAAGGCGTAGTGACAGTGAAGCCTTTTTAAAGAGAAAGAGTTAAAGTACTAGCAAATGTTGAAAAAAAAAATAAATCATAAAATTTTTGTCCTGTAAAGTATAATTTATAAATATCAATTTTTTTTAAATTAATTTTTAATTTTTAGAGTCCTATTGAATTTTTCAGCATTTCGGTCCAAAAGTCTTTTTGTTTGAGAGTTCACATAATCATAATTCTTCAGGGAAGGTTCTTGTTATCGCAGAATATCACAAAATAAACTTTTACATAATCATTACTTATAATTAAATGTAATGCACATAAATATTTATGATACTTATTTCTATACTGATAAATTATAATTTAACATCAGATTTTCAGAATTTATGGTTTCACCGTTATCACAAAATAAACTTTTACATAATCATTACTTATAATTAAATTTAATGCACATAAATATTTAAGATACTTATTTCTATACTGATAAGTTATAATTTAACATCAGATTTTCAGAATTTATGGTTTTACCGTTATCATCTTTCATTTACAATTCCTTTATTTTACCATACTGGAAGGCCTCGCAATACTTCTAAACAAACATATCCATCAATAGGGCTGTCCTCTTGAGCTAACCAGTGTGTTCTAGGCACTGGTGGCCCAGGGTGCCTAGGCAGTTACTTGAAAAGGCCTCCGTTCCTTGCATTAAGGTAACTGGCCTTTGAGAACTGTACTAATACATTCCATAATAAAAAATATATAATAATAATAATAATATAAAAAATTTACACACACTCATAAAATGAGAGCCTCCAACATTACCTTGCTTGAAGAGGGTGAAGGGAACAACTATACAGAGGTAATTACAGGCCTCTGCTTAGGAACCCGGTACTCTCTCGACATACACTATACTTAACATACAATCACTCATAAATTTAACATGCATTTACCATAATTTCATATTACATATCTGTAATAATTTCACTTATTTTTTACACCTACTTCATTTTTAGAATAATTATAAAATTTGTATTCAAAATTTCTCAACAAAATTTCAAAAACATAAAAACTTATCTTAATATCCTTCCCTATGAATAATTTAAATAGCTTAAAATTAAGTACTTACTTAATTTGCTCACACATAATTATGAAAAATTAGAAAAATTAGAAAAATTAATGAACAAGAATTCCAGATTTTCTCAAAACAAATTGCAGAAATTTTAACCAAAGTTGAAATGAAAACTATAGAATCCGCAGCACATTCAATAATTTAGTTCCTGAGCTAGATTCACACGAATGGAATAATTTTTGAGCTGTTGAAAAAGCGGAAGTGCAAATAATTTTCTGTCGCACATACTTGCAAACACTAACTCAGTTCGACCTTGAACCCGCTGTAATGCTTCATTCCAAAACGGTAATTCACTGATGATTTCCTTTTCACTAGGCATTCGAATTTCTCAATTTATCGAGAGATTACTTTCAATCTGTAACACTACGCGTGATTATTTTTTTGAAGCACTTGCAAAACACCACAGAAGAAGAATGATCTGTTATTTTTTCAACACTGAAAAAACAAACTTGATGATTCACTTCTTTCACATTATCTTGGATTTATCACAAAACGATGATTTGAAGAGCTGAATTAAATTTTCCATTGAGGTTTCAGGCTGCAGGAAACTATCCTGCCGGCTTAATTGTCATAATAAGAGCACAAAGAAAATTTGTTTAAAAGTTAATATGTTTGTATTTCAGAATGATATCTTTCACATTTGCTGCTCTAATGCTTGTTCTTCCATCCTGCTCACCCAACTTTTCTTTTGAAGGAGGGGATATGTAAGTAACAAAATATGATAGGTGTTTCAAAAAAAAAAAAAAAAAAAAAAAATTGACGACCTCAAAATTAACATTCTAAATTTGGTAATCTGCCCCTAAATTCATCTCTTCTCACAGGTTCCAGACTTTTCTATCTTATGTAACAGATGCCTCTCGTCCAATCAAATTACATCTAAACCAAAAGTGTGAACTGAAACTTCAGCCTTCTTGCTATGAAAGTACTATAACCTTTCTCTTTTTACCGAATAGCTTTCCTGGTGGCAAGACGCTTATAAACCATGCTGCTGCTGCTTACGATAACGTTCTAATTCAAACTGCAATTTATGTATTCAAATATTATTAAGAAATATCTTATATGAAAAAGGATGATTTGATATGCATGGAAAAAATAAAGATTGTGATTTTTCAAGATATGTTGTGCTAAATTGCGTCATCATGCTTTCCACTCTGCCACCTTCGAACCACAGTTTCATTACAATAATATGGCGCAGACGATTTTCGACCCTACAGGCGTGGAACTTCAGTGCAGTTTATTTCAACTAATCTCACATCGTTTAACGAATGTAAAAAATAAAAAAGGTAACTAGTCATCTGAATTCCCAATCAAGCCACTACAGTCTTCTCGGTCATCTACGCAGTATCGTAAGCTGTTGAGAGTTCCACAGCTTTCTACGCATTTTGAAATCATCACATATTTATAAAAAGTCAAGACAGGATTAATCTGGTATTAACGATTATGTAAGATCGCATGATTAATCTGAATGACGCAATGCAGATAAGTTATTACGATTTTAGAATAGAGAGGAAGAATTAATGTTTATAGTTATATTATAATTCTGATTCATATATTTTTATCTTACATATATATATATATATATATATATATATATATATCACTCTGTTACCCGGCTCAGTGATCTCAGTTTTTTTACTCTTATATGTTTGAAAATTGTGCATTTTTTGCTTTAAAAATTATTGAATTATGTTGTTCTTATCTTCCGGTTAAGATTTTTATGCCTTCAGGAAATCTGCAAGCAATGTTTGTAGAATTATCAACAATTTAAAAGCTGTTTAAGTGCGATGAAGCCTAATTTTTAAACAACATGGCGGATATGTGTGTTTACATTTGAAACAGAATAGTAGATTTGCTGCCAATCTAGCCCTCTAAGCGGCAAGGCCGTATATATACGGCCTAGAATATTTATTGTGATATCTGTAAGAACGTATATATACGTGCGTATTAAAATATGTCAACGAAATTATGGCAATATATCAAAAGAAAACAAATCCAGGTATGAAATACCAGGAGAGTTTGCATTAAAATAAAAAAAATAATTTGTTCTCATAGTAAGTTTTGGGAAATTTGTGCTTTCTTAGCGAAACCCCTGGCCGCCCAGAGGGCTAGAGAGACTAAGCTTCGCAACAGCAAAGATAACGCCTTCATTTATTATTGTGAATTAAATCATGCTTAATCCTTTCTGGAAATTTTTCGAGGAATTGAGTGTTTAAGATTTACTTCGTAATTTTTAATATAGATATTTTGAGCGTTTTCGCGAAGTAAGAACTGAATTAATTGAAAGAGAAATACTGAATCGTATGTGAAAAACTGTTTCTTTTTAGTTTTGTTTGCTTAATTTCTTTTATACATCTTTCTAGATTTATTATAGTATTTGAATAGAACATGTGGCAGCAAGTAGATAATTCTTCAAATGATAAAATTTTGTTCAGAATCATAATATGTAAGAAATATAACGCTGTTAAGTGAACCTAGCTCCAGAGTGTCGCTATGCTAAACAAATATAGTGAATTTTAAAGAGTACATTTATTCTACTGTGGTTTATGCGCTATCGAAGAAGTAGATTTAATTCAATCCAATAAGTTTAAATGAAATACAAGAAAAATGCGTATAATTTAATATTCTGTGCAAGGAAGTCTTGTGTTGTACACATCAGATATTTTTTTCTATTGCGAATATAATTTTAATAAGTATAATAAATATTTAATACGATTTTTAATATTCATGAATAAGTGATTATCCTAAGGATCGTATTTAAATACAGCTGCCTATAAAATGCGAGAAGCATTTTATAAGAATTAATTACTGATAGGCATATTTTTGCATAATAGGATAACTCTGATTTTGCAATTAAAATCCATGTTTCCCGTAAGAACTTTTCGACTGCATTGTATATAACATTCATAAAGATTTTCTAAACAAAGCAGAGAACTGATGAACCGTCATTATGTAGCTAATGGCACAATGAACTTGGTCGTTGACACTTTGATCTTCCTGATAACATCTGATCGGAAAAAAATATCGTGAAAGGTTAGAAATGAATTGTTGATAATGTAGCTTGAAGAAGCAGATAACCTCGGAAGTTAACATAATATTTTCAAAATAATGTTTTCTCAAGGGAAAATATGAACACGCAAAACCATGTGATAATCCATCTCCACACGCAATATTGAAATGAATAAAATGAAGATGAAAGATCGGAATAGAAATTTTAAAGGCAATGCAAAGCTGAAAAATTGTTCACCAGAAAACTTTACTCTGGATAGAACATTTCCCGCATCATAACGTGATGCTAATTCTATCTGCACGAAATACAGTACTTCAAAATTTTAAATCTACACTGCAATAGTTATAATTTTAAACCAATGCATTATTAATTGTGCATTGTTTTGCAAATTTTGACAATAGCTATGATAGATAAATATAAGGCAGATTATTATCCACAATTAGGTAACTGCAAATTAAAACTTTGGGATCTCCTTTTTTTTATGAGCACACACAAAATTGTTCACAATGCTAACAAATATCAAAAATTACTTATAAGGCGTAATATATTACTCTAAAGTCAAATCATTAAAAGAATGCTGAATTATTCTCCGATTCTCAAAAGGAAAAAAACCTGATTTCATTGGACAGTAACATGTTCAGCTTATATTAGCTTAGCTATACGTTACTAACTTAGAAAATGATAACTGGCTAGAACATTTAATCGCATAGCAACGTCACAACTTTGTAAAAGAAGGAATAATTCATCAGCTAATTATTATATTATGTGTATCTACGAAGCACTGCTCTTTGCTCTGAAAGTCGATTTGAAGATTGATTTGTCTGAAGAATAATTTAGAAAAGTTCGTCTGAAGATAACTAGACGTCTGTTATGCTACATGATTGTCAACATTACAACGATTATTTCGATCCTCCTTTGACTGCACAAGAATCAGCGCCTACAGCGGGGAGTTCAATGGCACACATGGATGTATGAATGACATAATGTCGCATTTTCTGACGAGCATCGCTTTTGCTTAGGGCATGCTTGATGGCCGTATACATGCGTGTAGGTACAGAGAAGAGAATGTTGGAAGTTTACATTTCTTCACATTCATATCGGTATGGACATAGATTGATTCTATTAGGTATTTAATCCCATTTCTCTATATTCTGTACTTTGAGCAGCTACCGTTATATTACTGAGGTGCCCATGGCTATTCCATATTTTTGGAACTTTCGTCGTCCCGTTTCCAACATGCAATGGGAGACCACATGATGACCGTAGTGTTCTATTTTTCTCAATGTGTAGGGTTTTCAACTCCTGCCATGATCGCTGAGTTATCCGATTCTTTATCAACTGAAAACGTTTGATTAATGGTTGCAGAAGAACTGGCGTGAAAAACTCACCAGCCAGGTATAGGCTCATGTAAAAGTAGGCAGGACTTCAAGAATTCACCACTGGTGGTACAGGTATAGTCCCATCGTGCATTTTGTTCCCAATTGAGGCAGAACGTCCCTGGAGCGGTCCGAGGGTTTCTCATCCCTCTCCACCTACTAGCAACCTCTCGAGAGGGCTTTCAGTTTGCTATGTATTTTGAATATCCCCTTGCCGAAGAGACAGTATACGCTTACGAACATCCAAGCTAAACATCCGAGCTTCGAACCGGGCCCATCGACATGGCAGTCAACATCACCATTCACTATACCCTTTGGGTGGCAAACTCACCAACGAGTGCGACAGATGAATTCTGACATAGAACTGAAGCCACATGGAATAAAATAGCTGTACCTAGTATAATCCCAAGTCCGTTCAATTCTAAGCCCAGCCGTATAAAAACTACTATTTTTACCGAAGTCGGTACCTTCTCGCTCAAAATTACCTTCTTAGAACAATATATTAAGTCATTATACAGAGTTTCCTAGAAGTTCTATATCATAAAGAAGTTTTAGAATCTATTTACATTCACTTTGCTTACAACGCACACAAATCCAGTTAGTGCTACTACTTTTACCATATAGGCCTTCTAGATTCACTTGCAAATAAGATCGATGAACGTGTTTTTCCAGGGTGTTACAAATGAATAATTTTCTCAATCTAAACTAAGAATTTTAACTAAACCAGCTGACTAGAAGCGAAAAGATATTAATTGCAGCTCAGATTATAATGTTTTAAGTATAAGTTAACTTGTGTAATAATTAGGTTTATTTAAAAAGACATTTATGCAGAGGGCCCACCAGCGGCCGAGCGGTAAAGTCGCTGAACACTGGTAGTTCGGTCCGAGGTTCGAAGCCCGCGAACGGGCTGGCTGCATGGGTGTTTTCGTGGTTTTCCCCATGTGTAACGTGTATACGAGCCAGTTTCCCTTAGAAAGTCCTCCACGAAGGCATCCCTCCCCTTAGGCAGATAGCCCTCGAGGCTTTGCCATAATTACACCACACACAAACACATTTATGCAGAATATGCAGATTAAAAAGAAATTAAATGCTGTTCAGAAAGCTTTTAGAATGAAAGAATTATAAAACAAAAGCGTGGACAAAAAAAAAAAAAAAAAAAAAAAAAAAAATCCTCTTTTTAAGTTGTTATTCCTTAAGAAGACATGATATAATTGAACTCTTTTTTTTTTTTTTTAACTCAGAAAATGAGTATCAAAAAAAGCTTGAAGCACATTTATATGCTTCATTATTATTTTTGAATAGATGACATTGAAAGCAAAATAAGTGTTAAATCTTTTCTTCCGCATTTCGGTATTGTTGAGAAAAGCAATAACTTCTATGTTTATTACCTTTCGAAGTAGAATTCTACATTTTAGTGGATTATTTTTAAGACGTTTTGAAACATTAATTTTAACACAAAGACACTAGATTACTTAGGCAGTCTAACTGCAGTCTTCAGACTAGGAAATGAAAAGTTATCGGAAGCTTAAATCACCAGTGTAGCTCTAAAGTGTTTAGAAGCATCCGAACAACTAGCTATCAGGAATTTCATCACCACGTGCTTGGCGCATGAGGTACCTTTATGCCCTTCACACAGCAATCTAGACGCGTTTCTGTCACGCACGGGTACCTATATCTCTTGGTAAGTATTAATAACGATGTGGGGTTAGATCCTCTTTTGCGCACGTTAGATTCCTCAAACAATAACCCATCAAAGTGACTTCCGTTCGTGACACGTGACATAAACAGTGACAGAACTCACCTTGTCGACAAGATTCAAATCAACGCCTGCTTCTAGAAGGCTCTTGATGCAGTCTGTGTGGCCCCTGGCTGCAGCGCAATGAAGAGGCGTTTCTTCTTCCTGTCAGGAATACAAACCAGGCATCAAGGTTTAATGCATACGCAGTCGGAGGAATTTTATTATCTTTTATACTGACAACATTTCTAGGTACAATCGCTTAAAACGAAATGAAAGAAAGTATTGATTATATGATATAAATTAAATATAAAACATTATTAGCCTTTACAACCACCGCTATTTCTTCCAGAATGTCTTAGCTGTACAATGCTTTAGACATGATATCATGGAACTTAGTATTTTGGTTCTGATTTGGAGTCGTTTAAGTTACGTTGCAAATTTGTCTTTTATCGTGCACAGAATAAAATTAATTAATAAATAGCTAAAAATAACACATGACATAGATGAAAAACAGTTTATGATGCAACAAATAAAGGAATAATATTTGAAGTAACTTACACATGAAAAATTTGCATTCACATTTTCTTCTTTGTATTAGACAGAGGGCATCATGATAGTTGAAATTAAAAATAGAAAGTTTATCTACTGAAACGTATGCAACACCCTCATTGAGATTCATTCTGCTAAATATTCATTTTTCAAACATAATACAAGGTACCATTTTTTTCAAAAGTATCCAAACCCACATTTTTTGTTATTTTTTAGTCGAAAAGCTATTTGTTAGTAGATATAGAAATTAACAGCTCCACCATATTTTTTTTTTCAAAGGATTATGCAAAAGGGTAAAAATCATTTCAAAACATAACAAAAGCTGCTTATAAATGGTAACTAGTACAAGAACTAGCTAAAACGAATAACTAACTCCTAATATAAAATTTGTTAGTCGATTAACAATGACAAACCGGAGAGCTATCTGCTTAGAAAGAGGTAGTTTTGTAACAGATGGTTTGAAGGAAGCTGGACTGTATTTACATCACACATGAGAAAAATGACGAACACTTCGTGTAACAGCTTTGCTCAATTACTGAGGATCAAAGCCAGAACGAGTTGACCCCTGATGATTTCCCAGGTTTAAGCCGCTGATAAAAAGTAAATGTTAGAGAAGGAATTTTTGTGTATGATGTTTGACATAAACTATTTTTTAAGCTTATGGGATAGGAGAAAAATGTTACGCTTCTGTGAAAGAATTTTGAGAAAAGGTTTTTTTTTTTTCTTTTGTAGTTCATTTTTTAAAACTAGAAGCTAATATTAAAATAGTACGCTTTTGATATTAATGCTAATCATTTTTGCTTCGTTCTAAATAATATGTGAGAATTCGCTACTAGAAACAGGTGTTCCACCACATATAACAGATAACGGGCGGTAGAGAAGTGGATATATCCATTCAGTGTTTCGCAAAAATAATTTAGACAGCTGGTTACTTATTTCTTAGAAAGCTTAGTTACCTTTAACTATAATTACCAGCAATGTCGATATACTTTTTCAAATGACTTATCTGTTATTTGTAATGCTCATGACCAATATGGTTCTACATACTGAAGCCTCATAAATCAGTCTTATTCGTGATTGCTATTCGTACTATACTACTAGTCCGACACAAACAAATTTCTTACTTTTCCCCAAAATTAAGTTACTATTCATAGAAAAGCATACAGACCAAATAACTAACAACGAAGCAACCTAGAAGCCAATTTTCGTAAATGTTATGAACAATAAATGAATCGTTTCACTGCAATAACTGCCACTGCTGAGGGGAAAAAAATACATCGACATTGACGGCAATTATATCTAGAAGTAACGAATTATCTAAGCTTTATAAAAACATCGGATATCTAAATTATATATTAAACAGGTTTCAAACCTTCCCACGTACAGGCCTTTTTCAGAGTGAATGGTTTGATTTACTTGTATTTAAAAAGCAAAAAAAGGGCAGCCAGAGTCATGTTAAATTAAAATAGATAATGGTCACGAATAGCTAAAATGATGTTTGCTTATTTAATTATTTGCATTATTTAGTTACACTAACAGTTTCAAAACTTTTTAATGCAAAAATTAGCTAAATCTTTTTTATTGCATTAATAACTCGATTTAAATCCTGTTATTTTGGGAAAACTCATTCGTAGTAACGTTAGCTTTCAGGTGTTCTTTGTTAACAAAAATGTATTAATAACAAGAATTTTAATTATTCTTTCGCTAAGTGTTTAAAATGTTCCATAATTTCAGGATCATAAAGACCTTAATCATAAAGGCAAGCTTTACAAATTACTGAAATTATATTAGATGCGTTAAAAACGTGAGCACAGTTTTTACTAAGTAGCTTAGATGTTATAACTTACTTTATTCCTGAGATTAGTTTTCGCTCCAAAATTGCACAATGTATCCACAATTTTCGGAAATCCGTGCCATACGCCAATATGCAGGGCTGTCTCTCCATGCTGTAATAAACACAGTTATGTAAAACTTTTTCACAGAAAGCTGATAGGAAAGATGAAGAAAGAAAATCACATTAAATGTAAAAATGCACAATGTCTTTAGAACATAGTAAAAGCATTAAATTCATTGCTCGTAGCAGAATTTGGCTGAGGACGAGAACTCATGCTGTCTAATTGGCCGATTTCCATTTTCTTGAGAAGAGGGAATCTGCATATAAATATACTAGAACCTACACTGGCGCATTTGTTTCATTTGATATCTTTAAATGTTTAAAATTAAAAATATCTCATTCAGCGTAAATTTCTATAGAGGAAATTTTATGCTCCGATTATGTATATAGGCCTCCTATGAAGCATGTTTCAGTAGCGAGTTACGTTTATGAAAAGCATTCCTTGTGCATATTAACGCCTTAAGGATATTTTAGAATGAAAAACACTTGTCTTTTGTCACGAAGGGGCAGGAGAATCACAAAATCACCATCTTTAGCCATGAAACACTACTTTAGAACTTTTGAAATTCTCCTCCACTGCAAGATTATTTTTAATAGTAACGAGAAACGGTAATATTTTGATTTTTATCATTTCACTAACATGCTTGCATAGAAAATCCAACTTTGTCTATATTCTTGGTATTTCAATCTTTGTGCACATCAGTGCTCCTAAAATAGCGAAGTGCATTCATTTCTGAAATATTGATTCGGTGAAATATGTAATTTATTTAGCAATTTGTAGGAGCCTAATTTACTTCTGCATATAGCACAATAGATTTGATTATGGAGCTACATATGTGATGCTTTCATTTTCCATTCATGTAATTGAAATTGTCTTTAGTGTGATGCTAAGATATGTGTAATTCCGTGGAAATAGTTATACGTGTGTAGGGTTTATATTTATTTTAACTAACATTTATTTTAAGTTTAAACTATCTTTCCTGTCAAGCCTTACTTTTTCCTGGAACTGCCAATGCCAGAATATGTAAATTTTAGTAGAACGCGCAAGGATTCAAATTATCAGCGGAAGTATTATGATTTAAATGGAAGGAGGAAACGAGTTCGGGTGTGATATTCTACTTCACGAGCCCGGAGGTAGTTAGCGAGAATTGAAGAACCCCGCGTTTTCGGCCTATGTGCTTTGGCGGGAAGTAGTGTTAATCGTTCAAGTGAGCTTCAAGTCTGCTGAATTAGCAGCGGTATTGTAAAACGCGGGTGAGTTAGTATTTTAGAGAGCCTCGTAGTTAGAGTCTTGTCTTTAGTTTCTTTTCAGGTTATTATTTTTATTTGACCGCCGAGTTGGCGCGTTGTGAGCGTCAAGAGCACGCAATTGTAACTTTTTAAGTTGAAAAAAAAGGGACTTAAACCCTTCACAAGACTCTGTATTTTATCCAGTTTCCACAGTCACCTCTTGGTTGCGTGCAAGTTGGAGGCGCGCAACGTTACACGTGTATAACTATTTTCATCGAAATATTTTGAAACACTTTTAAAAACCAGCATCGTAGTTAAATTTAAGGATCAAATTCAAGCACCGATCTCAGTTATCCCTTTTTGAAGATGTAAATTAAAGTTTCAATACGATAATATTTTTAATCAGAATATGAAGGCGGTGATTTAAATCATTATTCTCATCATATGATTAAAAACATTCACTGAAAATTCAAGATTCTCTGTTCAACAAAAATAAATAAATAAAAATAAAAATAAAGCCTATTCTACATTTTGAAATCTTTGATGCACTCCTTTTTCTTATTTTATCACGATTTTAAGTTTAAAAATAATGGTAAATTTTCAGTTTGTAAAAGCCTTTTCAAACAAGTTTGCTGTAAAATAAAGTGGAATTTTTCTAGCATTTTGTTCAGTCTGTATGTTGTCATCTGAATAACACGTCACTATTATAAAGACCCAAATTATTTCTGTTATCCATACAAGCCCCTTTCTCCAACCCCCGTTTTCTATATCATTTTGAGAAATGTCTTTATCATACATAATTTTTCTACCCAAATTGAAATCGAGAAGCTTAGATCTGTGGTGTGTTTGTAAGGTATTTCTCCCGCCTTCTTAGGGAGCCTTCGTGGTGTAGTGGTTTGCACGCTCAGCGCGTGATTGAGAGGTCCGCAGTTCGATTCCCGGCGAAGGCGTTGCATATTTTTCAATCTTTCTTACTTCCAATTAACCTAATGTCGCAACATATTTTAATACTCATTGTTACTGCAACGTTTTCATAAATTTTGATAATAATTTTATGGCAAAATCTCACAAAACTTTTAATTAAAATTTGATTGCAAGAAGTGGATAAAATCGAATTGCATTGTCCCCTAAAAAAATATCATACCTTGTTCAGACGATATTCTGGCTTTGGCAGTTAAATGATCCGCTTTCGAGTTGGAAACAAACAAAAATAAATATTGTGTTTCTTGTAATTTTTTATTTGAAGACTCAAATAATTGGGGAAAGGCCATTATAATTTTTTTAATCTAACAACAATATGAAAAACGAATGCACAAGTCTATTAAGAAGTGATAAATTCTATACGAATAAAAGATTGAATATATTGCAGGTATTCGGTAAAATGTTTTTATTTATAAATCTATATGTAATCAAATACAAATCGAAAGCTATTTTTAAAAATTGAAAACAACACGTAGTTAAGATGAAATATTTCATTTTCCCTATAGATTATACTTTGAATTCAATAATAAAATTTTAACAATCAGCTTAAATATTTATGAATTTCGCTTTATACTTTAAAATTGTTAACGCATTTCATTTCATTTGGATCAATCACAAGAATGATTTTACTGTCAAAACTTGACAACATAATGTGTTTCAGTGTCACTTCTCAGTAAAGTGGAGAACATTTCAAGTATGAAAAAGTAGATGGGTATTTATGTCAGAAATTTTAATTCCAGATTTATTCAAAACTTTTCTGGACGTAAAACAGACTTGCCTTGACTTTTCCAACAAAAATAATTAAAATTACCCTTCACAGGAAGGATCATTCTTTCAAGGTTTTTAAGATCATTGTACATTAAGACCAAAGAAAAACTGTCGTGTTTTATACTCTAATGCTCACTTGTCTGACGTTACCAGTACCTGTAAAAATGCTGCCGCAGGGTAGACTTTCGACTCACCTTTTAGAATAATTTGGCCCTGATATTAACCTTTTCTTTTAAATACTCATTTAAATAAGGAAGAAGCTAATTAACTCAGTGAGAAAGAATGCTGACCTCATCCGGCAAGTTGACGTCCGTGCAGCACCTGCAGAGGAGAGCCACGGCATTGGTGTGTCCGTAACGGGCCGCCACGTGAAGTGCTGTCTCTTTGGCCTACGCAGTTCAAAGAAAAGAAAGCTTTAGGGCATACTCGGCAATGAACTTGAATACAAAGTAGAAAGTGGATTCCTAACCGAGTCATCACTAAAATAATGGGTGTGTCAAATATGTTGATTGATTTTACTTTGCTCCGCGACTTGTTTCGAATTTTAAATAGAAACTGGTTCAGATAAGCCTCAAAACAAGAAAAATCATTCACTTTTATGTATATGGAATCTTATTTACAAATGAGACAAGGTTTAGTTTTGATGGATTTAAAAGTTAAAAAGAAAATACGTAATAAAGGAACGCTCTTTTATTATTGCTGCAATTTGTAAACGTGCACACATTTAAAAGGATGTTCTGATTTTAGTAAGCAACTGAACTGTGCTCGATTACAGTACATGATATACAAATATTATTGGTATTTTAAAAGCATGATTTTATCCGTCTCCATTTTCCATTAGACTTGCTTCAAGTCTTCGATATTTACTTCTATTCATCCCCTTTTCCTCCGGTCCACACTATAGCACTTCATTAAGTAAATAAATGATAGAAGTTCCCGCTATAATGCGCAAGAATGACAGTATTTTAGTCAACGTAAAAAAACTGTTTAAGAAGGCAGAAAAAGCAGTATTGTCTATAATGCTTTTACAACTTACGTATTTAAGTGACATGCAATGCTGTTATACCGCAAACCTAGTTATTTTATTAAGTTAAAATTTCTAAAATATTTTATAATGCTCGAAATAGTGAAAGATTTTTCCCATTGTATGAAATTTTTTAATTAGTACTAAATTAGTAACTAATGTACATTAGCTTAATCAGTAAATTTTAGAAACAATGATCTAACAATTATTGGCAGAGCTATTGGGAATACAGGAATATTTCAACAGAACTGTTTACGCTAGTTCAGTATAATACTAGTCAGTTTTTCACTTATTTCCTCCTTTCTATAAACGGCTGTCTATTTTTCGCTCATATGTTTAGACCCAAATTAAAAATTAATTTCCTTACGTTTTAATTTAAACGAAAAATAAGTCAGTGTGACTGAATAAATCTTAGTAAACGATTAGGGAAGATAATCAACATGTGCGAATGAATACTGTACTCACTCGACGCAAACAATTCAATTCATGGAAACAGATCGAATCGTCCATATTTATAGAAAAGTATGGGTATTTTAAAATATTCATGAAAGTTTAAGATATTTTTATTAACTTAAGATATGATTGTTGAAATTTTTGAAAAATAAACGAGACAGACACGCGAAGGTAAAATTTAAAATTAAGCGAAAAAAACAAACTGGAGTGGATTTTTAATACATTTCTTTCAATTTCGAGAGGAATCTGATAGCGGCCGCTCTTTTACAGAAGTGAGAAACTTCTTGCTCTTGAAGAAATGGAACTTAATTTTAAATAAAAAACATTAAATAAAAATATTTTAAAGTGATATATAACTTCTTTCCCTCTCAAAAAAATTCTAAATTCTATTAAAAGTATTGAAATGCTTAGAAACTTTTCTACAAAACTAAGTTTGAATATTAACTTATACATCGTTACATAGCAGGTGTATCGAATTTAGGAAGCATAAAAACAAAGTAATTGCTATGGGATTCATTTTCACTGTTGTAAAGTAATTTAAAGTAACGGCAATTTATTTTTGAAATTTTTTGCAGATTTTTATTCCTTAGATTATTTTTAATTTAAGTTACTTCAATAAATACAATTATTTCATCATCATTAAAATTAAAATCATGCATAATGATTAAATTACTTTTTCATGTAATCAATTATTTCACACTTATCTTATCTAGTATTAAAACTTAGTAAATACACTCACAGGCATACAGAGTAAAAAGCAGCATTGTTACAATTCGAAAGCTTAATAATTCAATAGTTTTCAAATCATTTTGAATTTATATGTTTGTTAGCAATTTTAATGTTATCTAATAATTAATTTGTAATGTTTTAACGTGGTTTTTATATGCTTAAATTATTTTATCATCATAATGAGTACGAAATATTCTAATTCTGGAACAAAATTATAAAGGTATACAAGGTCGACAGCCTCAAAAAATGACTGAAAAATTCGAAATTATTTCCTTAAATAAGAATAAATTTATCTATAACATATTTGATTCAACCAAAGATATTCCTGTAGACAAATATTTATTTTTGAAAAACGATGTATTGTAAAGAGTATTTTTCAGACATATAAATTAACCATATTCCCAAATCTTTCAAAAGGCGAGGCCTTGTCGTTTTGTAACCAAGAATAGGTCGAAAATAAGGATTGCAATGTATTAAAGGAAAAATTTTTAATTTACTTTTCTAGTTCAGAAAATATTACATTTAATAAATTTGTTTTGTTTATATAACAATTTTAAAGATATTGATAAGTATTTCCGTCAGAAATTAAAATTAGATTCGACATTAGATTTAAGTTATAAAATTTCTACTGAATCTTTAACTCATGGCTTGCCAGAGCACTATCCCTATCTGTTCAGAATATAAGCTCAAAATTGGATTCCTTAGATCGAAAATTATTTTCAACTTCAGGTTTACCTCAGCAACCAAAAAGCACCAAGAATGTGCTCAGATTTACTCTTCCTGGGTGGAAGTCTATATTTTAATCATCCAAGATATAATACTTCAAGACCATTCTACCCTAGATGTTATTTGCCTCAAATTCCAGTTTGAACAAACGTTCACCCTCACCACACAGCTATCCAAATTCACAATATCCATTATTTAAGACTAATTCACCGTCATCCTATCAAAATAAAATGTCATCTAAAAATTGACAATATTTGAGGTTAAATGTAGAGAATAGTAACTTTCCAGTATTATAGATACAGGTAGTCAGGTAAATGTAATTTCTGAAATAACTTTTAAGTTGTACTGATAATTTTAGAGCTCTCTTAAAAGAAACTTCACGAAAGTGTTTGTCTTTATCTGGAGGTATTCTAGTCACTAAATCAATTAAACTGTCACGCAAAATTGAAAGAGTTAGTCAAAATGTGGTATTTAACGCTGTAAATTCTCGTTTGAATTATTTATTGTTGTCTTAATCTTGTGTTACTTTGTTTAAATTGTGAATGAATTTCACTAAATATGAAGTATATCAGTTTAAGAGAATTATAAGCAAAGGCGTGCGAATAAGTAATCATTTTAATTGTAATTTCTTATATTTATATGAAAATACCAAAAATGAAAAGGATTGTTTTAATAATGTTGAAAATAAGGCGTGTGAAAATTCCTGTGTAAATGAACATTTGAAACAATTAAATAATTATATTCATATATTTGCAAAACGTAAATAGGATGAGGGTTGTACTAATATTGAAACTCCAAAAATAATATTGACTTCAGAATTTTCTGTAATATATAGACCATATAAGGCATCATCTAAAGAAAATCATGAAATTAAAAAGCAAGTAGAAGAATTATCACATGCCCCCCTCAGTTATCATGAAACTTTCATCTACTCCGTACACTGCCCCTGCAGTTTTAGCCTATAAAAGAGATGGAATGCAAAAACTAAATGATGTATTGATTAATAGGAAACTTAACCAAATCACTAAAATATATTCCAAACCCAGTATAAGAATAGATGTAGTAATACTAGACTTAACAATGCAATAATTTTTGCTACTTTAAGGATTTATCATCTGGTTATTGGCATATAAAATTAAATGAAAAAGATACAGAAAAACTAGCATTTAACAACAAATTTTAGTCTTTATGAATTCAACAGATGACCTCTTGGTTAGAAAATTCTCGATATATATGTTTTAAATAGATATTCTTATACATATTTTAAATCAATATCAAGTTCAGTCGCTTTAAATTATTTAGATGGCATAACAGCATTTTCTCAGAATTCTGAAGATCTTTTAGAACATCTTAAAGTAATATTTGATATATGTGAAAAAGAAAACATTAAATTGAAACATTCAAACAGGACTTTGTAAAGTAGAAATAAATTTTCTAGGATATGCAGTTCAAGCTGAAAAATATCAATACAGATATAGGTAATTAGTTATTAAAAAATTACAACTTCCCAAAAATATTAAAGAATTTCAAAGATTTCTTGAAAGTCTTAATTTGTAGCATAAATTTATTCCAAATTATGGAAAATTAGAACCTCCTTCTAATAAATTTACTTAAAAAAAGTTACTCCATATAAATGGGCAACTGAATGTCAAACAGCCTTTCAAAATTTGAAATACGTTTTTATTTCCAGACGTATTTTAAAACTATTTAACCAAATTATCCCTGTCATATATTTGTCAATGCATAAAATTATTTTCTAGAAAAAATAACTGTTAAATTAGTTATTTTTAATTCTATAAAAAAAGGCTGACTTTTCAAGGGGTATTGCCACTTTCGATTCAATCACCAGCATTTAAGAAAAACTGAATCAAGTTTCGTTTTGTTTTTTCATAGTCTTTAATGTTTTTCATATATATATATATATATTATAATTTACTGTATTACTATCATAGAAACCTTTTTGGATTCAAAAACTAAACCCCCCCCCCCCCCCCCCCCCCCCCCCCCCCACCCCCCCCCCCCCCTATAGCTAATATGATCGGGCCTTGTCTCGCAGCCCAGTAGATAGCACTATCTCCATGCTGAAATAATAATAAAAATAATCACAATAGAAGGAATAATAAACTTTACAAATAGTAACAATAGTACTAAAGTAATTATTTTACATCAGATGAAAGTTCTGATTTAAAAAATAGGTCAAGTGAAATTTACCTGCAGCATAATATGTACAAAGCATAATATGCATTTAATGATAGTCAAAAAATTTACATACATGGTGTCAAATAAGATCATGATTCAAGAAAACATATCGAAAAACATTAGAATTATCTTTTATACACTGTCACTGAAATTGGCATGAAAAACATTATCCTTTTTGATCACATGAGGATGCTGCTGCAGAATATGTAGCTGGAAGTATAGTACTCCTGAAGCAATTATTAAAAGATTACTAAAAATCGATCGCATTTTTGAAGCTTTGGATTGAAGACAAATGATAGGTGCTGGACGCATGGGTTCATTCAATTTTAGTAGCAGTTCGAGAACTGGGATTTTCTCATTGCACAGTATCAAGAGCATGGAGAAAGTATAAGGATAACGGAAAATGAAAGAATAATAATAACAAAAACAAGGTTTAACCAGCCTTAAATGACGTGGCCTTCGACGTCTCAGTCATATCCGTAAGTAGCTAACGACACCAAACAATAGCTGAAATGACCATCTAATTGAGTAAACGTCCAATCAACAGGCAGCAGACAAACTGTGCAGAGCTCGCTTCACCGTATATGCTTTAGAAGCCGAAGAATTACTATACCATTTGTCAGTGCATGCTACCGTGTTCAAAGTCTGCATGGACTACAGTTATGTTGCCCATAAGACAATACATACAGTGTAAAGACAACACATAGAGTGCTGAGTTTTGATTACGAAGGCATTATAACGCAGGCCAAGAATAAGTCTAGTCCCATGCAGCCATAGACACAGGTCCTAGGTATGAACTGTACAAGACCATGAGCGCTTAATAATGGTGTAGAATGTTTCCTATAGACCACAGGTCCTCAGGAGGGAATTTCTCCCCTTAGGGAGGATTTCATAGTTTCATGTGGGGAATGCTGTCAGCCTTTAACCATTCCATTAAGCATTTAATTTCAGTTTATAAGTATAAAAAATTATTAAAATTTTATTCAGATTTACTTCCCATGTTTGGAATATTGTATAAAAAAATGTGGGCAAGTACGTCCTTCACCACCAGTATTCTTAACTGATTTATGAGAAATTCTAAAAGATGTTTTGGCAGGCCATACGTCTGGAATACATCCCCTCACTTGTTAACTCCTTCTAAAGTAACAGCAACTCGTTATTAATTAGGTACATCTAATTCAGATGCAATTCAATGCATACCTCTGCGAGATTCGTTAAAATTCTCATATAAGTGAGCCAATAAGATTTGGTTCTTTCTATGGTTGACATAATTTTACTGCGGACTAAGGAGACTGTATTTACTCACATATTTCCCCTTTTCGTATTTTATACGCTAATACTTATGCATATAATTTTTGAATTCAAAAAATACATTGTGAAGTATGAAGAACAGAACAGTGTTGAAAACAATAAATGTAGATATACAGTAATAATACTGTAACTGTTCATATGCAACGTAATAGTAAACGGAATGCGCGGGAAACTGTATGTGGCTTTATGTTTACTAAGATTTTTAGATGATTTTAAAAGCAAATTTTTGACTCTTCTGTAACACAAATACCTTTAAGCAGATGTTTTAATAAACTTATTTCTTAATTAGATAATTTTAAGCTTTTTTACACAGTTTTTTTAACTTTTCTTTTCCTGACAGACAAAAATGCTCAATATTAATTTTGGAAAGATTTACTCCAGCAGAAAGCAAGACAAATTCTTTCTCTAGGGTCAGCCTCTTAGGTGTCTTAATAATCATTGTATAATCTCAGAGTGGGTTTCTGCAAACGGAGATGGGGAGAAAAAAAAAGAAAAGGAAAGAGAAGAAAGAAAGATTTCTTATACGTTTAGAGATATATTGCTTTGATGCACGTAATTTTTCCAGGTTGCTCTACGTACGTATGCACATTCATATTTCAGTATAAGAGAATTTCTAGAGCACAAAACAATATATATTTTACAATGCTTGTGAATTCAAATAATAGTTTGATTCTTCTTTGGGAACATTATATTTTGTTCTTTACAGATAAAATAGTTGAAGATATAAACACTGTGTAGGAAAGAAAGAATGATTGTGCAGTTCTAAAGAAAAGATTATAATTTAAATTTATAATGGTAAATCAGGACAAAAAAAGCAGATTTTATTTTTCAGATCTGAAACGTGGTTTTGTTAAGAGTAAAATAAAATATTTTATCCAGAAAACAGCATAATTAACGGTTTACCATATCACTTATTTAAATAATCTCTAATTCAGTAAATTCTTCTTACTGCAATTCAATAAATATTTCCTTTAATGTTTTCAAATCAAAATGTAATTTTAAAAAAGACATAATATTTTACTATTATTAATTGTAACATTTGTTTTAAATTATAATTTTTTCTGGACCAAAATGTGCATTTGAAAGCATTTAATTAAATATTATTTTAATATTTCTGGCCACTGAAAATGCTTAGTTACTTGGTTAATTTATAATAAAAACCAATGAGAGTTGTATTACTTAGAAAGGATACCTTAATGGATGACCATCTAACATAATTTGTAGATATTTAAATTAACATGGGAAAACACAAAATCTCCTGCATCTGGCCCAGCACAGCTATTTAGAGATTAGCGGTCTATACACCTTGCCACCGATGAACTATAATTTTTAGTAAAACAAAAAAGATATTCTCCTAAATAAATACAAATAAACGCACAAAATTTTAAATTTAAAATATTTTTGCGATATTTTGTATATAACTGTACACAACTGAATAAAATTAAAGCAATCAGCAATAGATTCCAGTAAGATATATTATGACTCTAGGTGAGAAAGTTAATCTAAAGAAACAGGCAGATAGCTTCCCCATTATACATAGGATGCATGTACCATGCAAGATAGGAATAGAATTTTGCATAGCACATGCAAGATAGGAATAGAATTTTGCATAGCGTAATTATTGAATTGAAATTATACGAACAAATATAGATTATTTATGCATTTAAACCCATTCTGCGCATTCCTCATAATATAGACAATGTTAAACAACTAACATATAAAGTATATTTATATATAATGCAATGATCTACAATAGCATAAACATATAAACCTGCTACCAAGTTCTACAAGTTCTTTTTATGATGTGATACAAATACGTCCACATTTTTGCATTGGGTTATGTTAATTTGTATTTTGTAATCTCATGTCGTTATTTCGTACAGTAGCTTGTGTTTATATGCTGTTCGTGGGGGGATTATTAACCTCTTACTTGACAATTCACTTTCAAGTGATTCTCTGTTACTTACAATGAGGCAATTTTAGATAAAAAAAAGGCAAAAGAATGTATAAATATCATAATAATATTTTTACATCTTAGAAGAAATTTGTATACCTTTTAAATATTTAAGTACGTAGCCTGCATTGTCCTACAGAGACGAGTTTGTTACGGAAAGTGTGAGTGGGCCAGAGTCCTCATTTCCGTTTAAGGGATTAAATTTACTATTTCTAAACTAGATAGCACTCAAATGCCTGTAGCACGGGCCTTTTAGCTACTGTGTAACGCAGTATGTCTATTATTTTGATAAATCATTTCATTATTATTTTATGAAACGTCATTTAATAGAAAAATATACTTTATTATATTCAGTCAGTGAGGTAATAAAAATTTATGTTCATTAAAGAGATAAATTTAAAGAAATTTTAAAGTATTTTTAAGGAAACTTATTAAGATAAATATACTCTTAGATAATGAATACAAAAATATTGTCTCATATGCCATTGTCTTTAAATACATACAGAACATAAAAAGAGAAGATTATTTGTTTTTAAAAACCCAGTGAAAGATTTCAAGTACCTGAAGTAACAGAAATGAAAATAATATATATCTTACGCTGTCAAGAGCATGAATATTAGCTCGTTTGGAATGTAAGAATTTCACAACGTTCAGGTGTCCCAGACCAGAGGCTATATGGACTGCAGTTTCTCCGTGCTACAAAGAGAAACAAGCATAATAAGCACTAATTTCATAGTTTAATAACATAAACTGTGAAATTATTGTTAAAAATTGACAGATATCATCTTACTTATATATTCTGTCTAGCTCGAAAAAAAAACCAATAAAGTTTTTTTAAATATTATGAATAGTGCATCCAAACAAATCACATTCGCTCAGTAACTAAATCGAAATTTCAAAAAGAATTTATCTGAAAATAGCTTCAGCAGATGATTGGCGGAATATTTACCTAGGCAGCGAAGAGCTGTTGAATTCGAAATGCAAGGGGAAATTACTGACAAACGTAACATGTAGAATTTAAAAACAAAAATTTTGCATAAAATTACTCGTTTCTGTGAGTCATATCGAGTCAGTGAAAGCCTTTGAATGTGCGCAATATATTTATACAAAGGAACTACAATATTTGAAAAGCCGCTAAGTTAAAATTTAATATCAAATCGTAATGATTTTAATTTAATCAAAAATCTTGGTCATGGATTACCTACAGATTGAGAGTCACTTGTTGGTATAATTTACCGGTGTGAAGTGATATATTAAACTGAGTTAGCCTTTTAAACTAAAATGAAACCAATTGCATCGATGACTAACAAGCCTATTTTTCACCTATTACTTATAGGTTAAAGATACGTTGGGGTAAATCCATATGTCACCACTGTGGGGCAAGAAATTTGGATAAATATCTGAATTAAAATTAACTTGGAGCCATGTGTTTATCAGCCATGCATTGTTGGTCACCATGATGGTCAAGGTTATTGGTCATAGATGGTCAAGGTTGTTGGTCACCATGACCTATGCGTTGAGGGTTACTTGGAATTAACCAACTTATTATCTCTGTGACACAGTGAATAAATTTAAACATATTTTCAAAATAAAAGATACATCTAAGAATACATTATATGTTTAGCCTATTACTTATCAGACATCTACAGCAAGAGAGTCAACCCATATCACCAGTGTGATGCACTGCAGTAAATTTAGACAGGAATTTAAATTAATTGAAGTACATTTTATCTCGTAAAGGGTGCTGTTTCCAGCAATCTAAAGAATGAAGGCTACTTGTAACTTGCAAATCAACCAATAAGCCATCATACGTAGGAAATTTAGATATGATGTAGTATGTGGAGATGTTGTAAATTTAGATATATTTTTTAATTAAAATTAAATCGAAGCCACATGTATTTATGAAGACTTTTGGTCACTACGACTTTCAGATTGGTGGTCAAAAAGTTCAGATAAGATATAAATAGATTACTAGAGTGAAATTAAAGCGAAGGTTAAAAAGATTGGATTTTATTTTACAGTGCATTCTATTTTAAGTTAAATTATCTTTTTTTTCGGACATACATTTATTTTTTAATGGCTTTATTCTGTCTGTAAGAGTGTCTCAGTGGCAGACGGATAACAAAAGCTAACGATTAAAAAAAAATGACTGTTCATTGAATTGCTACTCTATTTTAGTTCCGATCTCTCATTTCATATTTGGCATATTTAGATGTTTTAACATGGTATAAGATTTAATAAATGAACAATTAATTGGATAATAATTCATTGTTTATTAATAAATAAGCATTTAAGATTTATCATGACTACTATTCTTTCTAATCTGTTTAGGGAACATGTAGGTGTCCTGAAAAGAACAGTGAGTCTACTGAAGACTATGTTTTGTAAATTGTAGAAGGAATAACAAAGATGAGAAGGGTTTAATTACCCTTTATTTTCCACTTTTTACGGGTGCTCACGCACTTCGAGATACAAAGACCACCATTTGTGATATGAACGTAAGACAATAAGAACTATTAGCTAACTAAATTTAAGAGCTAGCTAACTTCGAATACTTTACACAGATGACTAACACTAAGACAGACTAACACAGACGCCTTTAAGATTATGACGTATGTAGAACGCAAACTGCGGAAAAGTAAAATATGTCTTCGATATCATGAGGACTAAACCTCGGGCCTTAAAGGCGGACAGCAATTGATTGAAAGCACGCGTGAAATAAAGTGGCAAGAAGGCTCACTCTCTCTCCTTCTAACTCTATTCTTGGCGAAAAGCCACAATTTAAATACTTAAGCGTTAGCAAGCACAATTTGCATAAACAGATTAACGCGTTTATTCTGGCCGGCAGTGGAAAATAAGAGAGGACAGTAAAGTTTTAAAATAAAATAAACGTTAGTAAAACTTAAGATCCTTATAGATTTATTAAATAAAAATTTATATTATTAATTAATTAAAGAAATTAGAAAAGATTCTCATCTAATGTAGTACTTAAAAATGACTATTAATTTTGTGTTTTCATGTCTGGTAAAAGTCTGTAGTTTTCATACAACCTATATTTTTTTAGACGTGATTTCGTTTTTCATGCTTTTTCCTAACTATCAAGTAAAAGCAGAACTGATTGTATTCTATGAAAAAAGAATTAAAAATTAGTTTTAATGCCTGAAAACTTATGGCATATTCCATTAACCTTTCATTTGTATAAATAATTTTAAGGAAAACTCTGCAATATGTGGCGCAAACGAGGAAACTAATATGTGAGTCATTGTTCTTGATATTCTTATGCTTTGAGATTCTCTGTGGGCAGTATTACTCATACAGTCATAATTTTCGAGAAAGCTTTACAACATGATATCATCTCTCAGTTGCGCGAATCTTGTAGAACTAGCTAGGAGTGGTTAATGTGGCAACTAAAGGAAAGTGCGATGCAACTAAAGGAAAGTGCGAATTTCCCTAAGCTTTAGAATATGGATGGACACAGTTTCTTTTCATCTTCCTTATACAATAAACTGATATACCGATACTCTTAAGATGCAGAAATCTGTGACATACGTCAGTAGGGAAAACTAATCAAAAAGCAGATTCGTTAAAGTAAAGTTTAAAGTAAAAATGTCTAAAAAATCTTTAGCAAATTTACTCATTTAGCCATTTTGCCCTGCGTTTGAAATAATCTGCTGATTTTTGAAGTGTTTGTGTTTATTGGCGAAGATTTTAGAGGATAATGGCATAATGTTGCGCATGTAAAACTTAAGCTAATCATTTTATATGAAAAAGAAACTGATTACTATTTTTAATCGTGATGTATGTATACTTTTATGATCATTAAACATATTATTAGATTCTAGGGAGAAAAGTATAGACGATTGTGCCTATTGGATTAGTGCTAATAAAGCGGAAACATATTTTGCTGTCGTAAAGTTACATAATAATTTCATAAATTCTGCTATGAAACATAATTCTCATAGCGGCTTTACGCATTTTTCATACTTAAAAAACGAAAATAACTTTATAGAATATTAAAAATTTGTTTTCGTAAATAGAAAGTACAGTGAAAAATTTTTAAGATTTTACTCAGCTGAGGAACCTTGCTTAACATATAGGCTAGTAATGCTAATATGAGACTATCTTACAGCAAAAATAATAAGTAGAATTCGAGACATATTTTAATGAATGTAATAGTCTAAAACTAATATTTAAATACTTTCATTAATATACAAATACATTTGAAACCAGTTTGTCGAAAAATTTGTATCCTCTCTGTCTGTTTTTCAACAAAGGATGCCGCAACGATTGGAATGCATCAGCGGAAACACGAATCACAATACCGTGCCTAATCTTTTATTTGCGATGCTGGTTGCCGGACAAGGGTGGGAACGCCTACGGAAAGATATGTCACAAAACGTCAGGTAATCAGGACTTGTTTTGACTTTTCAATATACTCTCAATCCCGTTTTGATGGATTCATCAGTTTCCGTTCAACATAATTTTATTCATTTCCTTTTCCATCAATATGAAGAACATTTCCGGAATAAATTTGAGAGATTTAAGAAAAGCATTTTCACAGAAAGAAATTATGAAAACTTAGCAGAAGGAAAATATTTTTACCGAAATGAAACGACGAAACGAATTTTATGGTTAGAAACCACAGCAATAATATTTCATAGAATACAACCAACTTCGCTTTCACGTTGTATAAGATTTCATAGAATACAACCAACTTCGCTTTCACGTTGTATATCGAAAAATAAATAAGTAAATAAAATGCAAAAAAAGAAACAATGTACAAAAAATACAGTTTGTATGCAAAAAATAGAAGATTTATACTAGAGAGAAAACTTCTGTTAACATACTCTTTTTCTGTCACTATCATTACGCAATTTAATGTTTATAATGCTTGCTTGACTTAAATAAAAGTAGAGTTAACTCTTATGCTTATCATATATATGAAAACAGTTTGTTTGTATTATATGACAACATCTCCACCTCTGTCCATAATGCTTAGCTCTCCTGACCGAATGATGCCGGTCCCCCCCTTTTTTTTTCTTTGCCACCTCCTATTTACTGTATGTACGTGACGATAGACTTATCGTGATGTCGCCATTGGGGCTAGTTTGATAGAGCCGGATACGCAGTTCACAGGACTGCATTGCCGGCAATAACCTGCCAGTCAGTCAGTATGCTTATCATCACTTCTTAACCGAAGCCGCCAAACGGAGAGTGGTTAGTGACTCTGACTGCCGAAGGCTCGAGTTCTCTAAAAAGCATGGATGTTATATAGTGTACTTGCGGCATGGAGCATTCTAAATATATGGCGAGCCGAATGTCCTCTCGTATGGTTTGGTGGTAGGGAAAGAAGGGTGGGAGACCTTAGAACTCCGTTCCCCCCCCCCGAGGTGCTCTCTCTCAAAATGGGGGTGAAACTGTGCAAAATCGTATTGTCACCTATATGGTGCTCAAGCAGAGACGCAATTTTGTACTGCTTACCACGATAAAATTCGTTGGCTTGTTCTGGTTAGGTCAGACAAATGAGATTTGTCATAACAACAACAATTTCTTACCCGTTGATATTTTATATAATTTTCTTTGAGTAGACTTCTAAATATCCGAACTGAAGCCACAGTCGTATACGCTGTAATTTTTTTTTCTTGTGCGGCCAAAAAAAATATTTATTTTACATTAGGTAAGGAAATTTTCTTTCTCTGCTTACCCCCTTTTTTCTAATACAGAATTATACTTTTTCAATAAAGTTGGACAATGAAATTTTTTTGGATTAGCTTAAATGTGCAACACATTTCTATTTCAAATAAAATACATAACTAAATTTTTTTTTATTATTTATATAAAGCCTAAAGTTAAATATGTAATTTTACTTTTATTTCGTACTGAAACGAGAAAAACAGGTTAATTTAATTTGCATAAAACAAAATACATATCCTATTTCTACTAAACTAAATTAAATTTAAACAGTACATTTTGGTAGAAGTAAACAAAAAAATAATACTATATGCATTAAATTTTTGCCTGAAAAATCTGTCGTAATGAATACATTTTACATAAAAGCTGCATCTATTACAGCTCTGTCTTACTCTTTCTACTACAACTTTTTAAGTTTTGCATGAAGTTTAAAATATTGTACTCACTTATTTCCTTCAGAAAATATCCAAGGAAGAAATGTATAAAAGTCAAATATGGGGGAAGTTCCAAAGATTTTTACTTAAAAATTTATTTCCAAAAGTGTTTCAAAGAAAATGCAAGTTCAAGCATTTCTGTGCGAAAGGGCACTTGACACTGGTAGCAACCGCCAACCAAACAATTTTTAAGAGTATTTTATGAAAACAAATATAGCTATTTCATTCCATATAATCATAAAAAAATGGATCAAACTAGTCGTATGTTATTCATAAATCGCATCATATATTTAATGATGAAGTAATGTGCTATTTCGTGGATAGTTTGGTATGTAAATTCTGGATAGCTCATTAAACAGCATTTTCTTATTGACCTTTCCGTTTGTTTAGACCACGGTTTCATCCGCCCAAAGACTATCACTCAAAAAATATTTATTCGCTGAAGGAGTTTAAGACAAAATCGCAGGAATCATAATGCTTTTTATGATTACAGCAAACAAACCCTGCGGCACAAATGCACGAAACGCAAGAATTTCATTGATATTTAATATATTTCAGGTAAGTGAATTTGACAATTACACGCTTCACTAATAGCTTTGGTGTTGGATTATAGCTACGCAAGAGCTTACTCTATGAAATCCTCCAGTGGCACGCGCTCACTCGTTTACTGATTCGAGAAGCTTCACTTCATTAATCCTAACTTCTTTGAGGTGACAGACTGATCACAAGATGTTTTTAAGAAGAAATTTTAAAGCATATTGAAGTGCACATTTGAAAACAATACGATGATGTCAAAACCATCTCACAACATTCATTCTTTGCGTATTCTACATCAGAATTGAGGCAATTATGGAGATGAAAACTGGAATGTCAACACTTCTTGACGATCCTTTATATTTTTCCAAAACACAGAGTCAAGGAGATAATTCATTTTTATCTGTAGTTTTTGTAAAACATTTATTGCTTATTGTGAGTAAGATAGTTCTAAATAAATTTAAATTGCTATACTAAACATATTATTTTTTTTTCCATGCCTACGTCTTTTTATTCAATTCAAAAGTATTTCATTAGTGCATATACATTTGCGTAACTGTCTCTACTTTTGATACTTTGATCCTTTCAGGCTGCTTGCCTTTCACTTCACGTTTTTACCTTATGTGTACAAATTATGTGCAGAACACACCTTTTCTCTGCTAAATAGAGAAAACCTTAAAACATTTTGATTGAAATTTCTTCGTTGTCTTGGTTTGCTTTCAGTCAGGAACCCGATTTCCTCTATTATATGCTGTACATTCAGAGAGTTAAGACAATGCAAACTTTCTGAATCTACAGCACGCTGTCACTCTTCTTTAGTGAACCTTATTTCTACGTTTCTCGGACATTATAAGGGTAAAGGCTAAAGAATGCATTATACCTACAGCAAACAAATACAAGCATGAAAAATGCAGTAAATGGAATAATTGCTTTATCATACACTAACATACAGTGCTGGGGAAAACTTACCAAAAGCTAAATGCTTCTTCCTTCTTTTGAGCTAAAAATGCTAGAAAAGCTTTTCGTAAGTTTTCTCATTTAGAGCACGTTTGCTCAAACATTTAAAATAGTAATATTGATTTTTGGAGGAGTACTGATTTTTAGCACTCCTGATTATCAGAACAGATGTTAAAGCATGGGCTGCTTTTTATATATATTATGCATAATATTACTTATATGTGATGTTAATGATAATAATTTCAATAACATTTTTATGTAATTTCAAATATTTCATTTAATAAAAAAACAGATTGATGGAGATTCATGTATTTTTATAGAGAATAAAATTGTTATTAGCATTCACGTGGAAGAGAGTACGAGATAGTATCTATTGGATTAATGTCAGAACGAAAGACATATTTTCAACGGAACGAAAAACATTTTTTTTTAATTTCCCGATTCGAAAATTTTTTAAAAGACTCTAAAACTTGTACTTGAAAACGTTGGGATGTAGAGATTTAATGGTTTTCATGATAATGTAAAAAATGTAATGGAACTGAAGCACTAGTGGTGTTATCCATGAGCACTGTAGTTATAAGAAGAGGATTTATTGCAGTCTGTTGAGACACATTCACATCTTAAACATTACTTTAGAACGTGATTTATATTCCAATAACCATAACCTTTAATTACAAATGAAATTTCGGCTTAACTCTGAGCAGAATCAGTAGTAAATTTCATGTATAATGTGACTTTTAAGCACCTGTATACAGTGTAGCACTTTGAACGTGATTCTTCTGCCGTGAAAGAGATCGAACTGATCAAAAACTGGTTAGAATAAAAATCCTGGAAGAGCAATACTGCTAATCTCAGAGGTATATGGTGACATATTTTGTTCAAATCAAAGGATTGCATCAGGTATGGATTATTGAAGGTCTGGTCGAAGATTCACCAAATTCTTGTCGCTATGTTTCGAAGCATTATGCAAAAATTCCAGGTGCTATTACCAGATCATATTAACTGAAGAGAAAGCGAGCTTATTAATGTTAAGCGTAAAGACGCGAAAAATTATGACTCAATAAATCGCAATAAACATTCTTCTTATCTCAAACAATGCTCATATATTTTCCAACTCTATCCTCTCATAACCCCATTGTTATGACAGATCTTCTTGCCCAGCCTTCTATGAATACACAAACGCATAGCCATAATTGGCTTAGCACAAAATCTTAAGCACGATAAAATCAATATGCATAATAAAATACAGGATTTCTTTTTCAATTACATTCTAAACATTGTAATTAATTTAAAGAGTCTTCATACTTTTTGTAAAGGAATAGAACATCATAAAAACGTAAAAAGATCTTTAAAAGATAAATAATATTAAAGATCCGTAGGAGACATTTTCCCAAGACTGATTTCTGAAGATGACTTCCGTTCAATGAGGATTAAAGCAAAAGCAGCCTGATCATAAAGCTTCATTTATTTTGTAATTGGAACTCATGGTTCTCTCGAAACCTATGACCTGCTATCAGAGTTATTGTACGAGAGTTTCGCTTTCCAGTGAAATATTGCAGTACGAGGACCATCCGAAAAGTAAGTTTTCCACACCACCAGAAGACCAAAACGCAAAGGCACAAACCGCATAGTTTGTGGATATGGCTATCGTATGCGGTAGTTGTAATTTCTTGTTTTCAACATTAACATTGGTGTAGCGCGAAAAGATACCGACTCTTATTTCTTCTCCCGCCGACTGCTAGGTGAAGTCTCTAATAAAGTTTTTAAACGCATAGGAAGTATCGCCGATCGAAATCGATCACCATTTGTGTTTAGTGTATGGACCGGATGTGATGGGCAAGCAGATGGTTCGTCTTTGGTGTCGAGAATTTTCTGAAGATAGGCAAAATGTGCACGACGAACAGCGTTGCGGCCCGCCATCCCTCGTGGAGCAGGTGCGGCAATGCATGTTGCAGAATCGTCGCTTTACGGTTACGGAACTCAGTGGCCATTTCCTGCGGATATTACAAACTGTGCAAACTGTGTTATTCCGGAAATTGTGCGCCAGGTGGGTGCTGAATAACCTTACACCCGAACAACAAACGAAATGCATGACAGCAGCATTGACTTTTCTGTAGGGATACCACGACGAAGGCGACGAGATCAACAGAATAGTTGCAGTTGATGAGACTTAGGTTGCTCACTTTCTCCCAGAAACTAAGCAACAGTCGATGCTTTGGCGTCACAGTGGATATCCATGCCGGACCAAATTCAAGTAGACTGCATCGGCACAGAAATTGATGTGCACGGTCTTCTGGGGAAGGAAAAGCATTCTGCTTGTTGACTTCTCATATTACATCAAACTATCTTGAAACACTTCAAGTTAGATATGTTTGTATGTAAAGATATGTTCATAAGGGATCTTGTTCACATAGTTCAAACAGAAATGAAGAGATAGTGGACAACAGTTTAATTTGTCAATAATAAATCTTTTGTCTACAGACCTAGATAAAGATATTTTCGGTTTAGTTCTTTGGTAGAGCACGCCTTTTATTACGAAAGGTTAATAAGTTTAGAATTGAATTTAATGTAAGGTAAACTTAATGGCTAAATTCCTTTGAAGTTGATTATTTAAATATTATACATTTAGTATAGATTAAACGGTTAAATCATTAATGCATTTTTTAGATATCATTTAAAATCGCACTTGCTGTTTTATATCTACATGTAATTTTTGAAGTGAATCAGTACTCTGAAACTCTGAAGAATTTTGATTTAATAATTTAATATGCCGAGTATCATTAGAAATGCTATGCAGTGATGGCTTTACATATAATGGTCAGTATCTACATAGTCAGTATCTAATTGAAATGAAACTAACCTTATTACAGAAATTCGGGTCAATGCGAGATATGGTGAAAAGTTCTTCCAATCCAGCAATGTTACCTTCTTCTACGGCAGAAAACAATGCTTCCACAACGAAATTTCCGTCTTGCTATAAAAAAGGAGAGAATGTAAGAAATCGGTTGCATTTACAATTTAAAATTAAATTTTCATTATCATCATTTTCTCATTCTAAACATTAGTCGTCATAATCAGATTATAACTTCAAAATGCTTTATGATTTCAAATTTATAGAATAAAAATTAAAAATAGTATTGTGTCAAATTTACAGCTTTGTATTTGCACATATATAGTTTAAAATCAAAGAAAATTCAACTTTTATAGACACAAATAGGACCAATGATGTCCATTATAGACAGAATGATTTGCATAATATGCACGATTTGTTTACCCTAACACAGACGTTAGACTAAACATGACATAAAACTAGATGTTACACAAATATGCAGTTGTATCTAAATTAAACATTATTTGTATTTTTAGTGGATGCTTATAGGTAGACATTAATTCGACAGGGTGTGAGAGGGGGTGATTTTCTCATTCAAGAAAATTTGGCACAGTTCTTTCTTCTCCAAAAACCATAGATATTTTTACGGGTGCAGAATTTTTCTACATTGAAGAAGAAAAATCCTTATTAGATCCTTCAAAATTTATGGAGCATTCCTATAAAATTAAATCCTTTCAACGCGGAATGTTTGCCTATAAGTTTTGGTATTTCTGTTACATCTTATTATCATATATGTGCAACTGTTGTTTAATTAACAGCATTAAAGAAACAAACTCATCTGTTTGATTTTATAAATTATTAATCTTCTGAAAATAATGCAATATATTTATTTCTATACAGAACTGTATTTATTTTATTTTGTATAAAACCAAATTTTACACAGATTAAGATAGGCTATTTGTACTCGTAACTACTCAACGCATAGCAAAATTAAATATATTTCACAAAACAAACTCATTTAACCAGCACGTCAGATATAAAGTTACTCAAAACGTCTATGTTTCTGCATCATACAAACCTACATATAGATGTACAGTACTATAGAAAACGTGGCAACTTTTCTGATTTTACTCTTAATTCAGCAAAAAATCATTTGACAATTGAGAGACATGAGATTCATACTACAAGAGCACAATATAGTACTTAAAGGATGAGGAAAGTGTAGTAGGAAAAAAATGAACAGGACGCATAAAGTATGAAACCGACAGAAAGAGGCTTTATTGACAGAATGGTGTTGATACAAAAAAATTGTTTGGCCAAGAGGAAGAATAACAAGTAAAAGATCTTTAATAAGGGATAAGCAAATCATTTATCACTGCAGTTGGGGGAAGATAATCTTCCCCCAACTGCAGTGATAAATGATTTGCAACGTTCAGGACTTGTTACTGTCAATGATTTGCAACGTTCAGGACGGTGGATGAACAGACCATTTTTAAGAAGACTTCTTACATTGCACGGTCTGTCGATATTCAACACTATATTATCTAACAGTTATTGGAATAAGAGTTCCCATTCTTCAAGAAGCATCAGTTTTAATTGTCTGGTGTTCTCAGGAGGATAAGATCGGGCCACCAGACGTCTCCATAAACTATCCCACACATGATCAGTAGTGTTTAAATCAGGGGAACAGGCCGACCAATCCATTTTGTGGACACTTTCACTTCACAGGAGCTCTTCAACAGCATGAGTTCTGTGTGGCCGTGCATTGAAATCCATAAAAACAAAGTCGGAAACAATGATCCTCTGGAAAAGACGTACGGGGAGGGGAGCATAATCTCATCACAATAACGATCTCCGGAAAGTAAACCTCTGTCGAAAATGTGGAGCTCCGTCCTTCCGTTTATCATAATGCCTCCCCATGCAAGCATATCAGTTGCTGAGCAGTGTTACCGCTGTCTGGTTTCCACATCTTTTTTCGCCTGCATGGTGATATATAAGTCATTAGAGCCAGAAAACAGCTTGCGTATATCAGAGCCAGAAAACAGCTATGAGTAAATTTGACATCTTTAATGTAATGAGTAAAATGAAATCTTTAATGAGGACTACAATTTGCGTCCATTTGCGGCCCACCTTATCAGGGACTTGAAATTTCCCCCTAGTGCCCACATTGTAAATAGTGTACATAGTGTGTATATATCTCATATCTTTATTACACTTTACTTCATGTAATTTGTATTTGTATGTATTTTATCTACTCAATGTTTTTTCTTCACAATTGTTACTCATCTGATATGACTCACTTAGTCACGCCTAAACTGGGCCTGTTTACTTAGTAGTGAGCTCTTGCGTTGCTGGACTTCCTGTCCTTTATCCGTCCTTGCTCCTCCTTACGGTGGACATTATATGAGGATAGTTTTATGTTATTGCGACCATTGGCATAAATTTGATTGAGCCAGATAAACTACTGATCTCAGTGGTACTCTGGCGATAGGTTTATCAGTCAGTCAGTCAAAACAGCTTGCACCCTGCGATATTTGGAGTTACTTGGCTGACCACCTACCAACCTTTCTTACAGTTGTATGTACCTATCGTATAGAATGCTTTTCAAGCTCGTGAAATAACACATTTATGAGTTCTAAATTCTTGAGAGACAGACGTCAAATGTCTCTCGTCAAGCTTGATAGTTATTCTATCACGTGTAAAGGCATCCTTGTAGCCATATTGCAGGTACAATCTCACTTTCACTTCCAGAAGACCCCCTGGAAATGCGCCTTCATTTTTTCTTTTTAAGACGTCTTGCATTTCGCGCACTGACTCCTCGCGTTTTGCGTCTCCTGACTACCCCTGAATTACTCTCTGACTGTGATAGTGCTAATATTTGCATATGCATCATCTTACTGTTAAGTTAGCGTTTCATTGTACTGATCGCAAAAAGCCGTTTTCAATAGACACTCTATATCTCATAATGTGTGTATGATGAAAAATGAATTTGTCGCTTACGTTTTTCACACTAGTGTGTATTTTACAATACCTGGAAAGACATTTTGATTTACATTAGTATCTACATACTTCCAGGAAAAAATTTCTAATATCTGCTAACATGGGAAACTTTAATCATTTTAGTGTTTTTAATTGAATTTAAAAAGCCTAAAACTATGAAATTATTGTACATTCATTTAGGTATTCAGTAAATGAGAGAAGGGAAGGCAGAGCTTAAAAAAAAATTTTTTTTTAATTCTTCATTTTCAACATACACTCATTTTTCTGTTGAAAAGGGCTTTTTGCGATCAGTCCAATGAAATGCTAACTCAGCAGAAAGCTGATGCATATGGAAATAGAAATAAATGGAATTATAAGAAAGCTAAAAAAAAAGATATTTTTGGGGGGATCTATGTTTGCGCTCTTTTAGTTTTGAGTGAGAAAAACTTTTAAAGTAGTATTAAACAAAAGACATTCCTTATCCACTTTGGTTTCTTAGTACGAAGCAGGTAAATGAACGAGATGCGAGAAATTTTCTCATGCAGACATGAGTGCTTTTTAATTTGATACATTTCGGTAGATATTAAAGAAACGATGAAATATTTTATTCGTTTAAAAACAGATAAAGCACAAAATTCTTCTTGGGATAAAAAAGGCATAAGCTCGAATTTCATTAATCGGATTTATTACTGCGCATGACAGATCGTACTAGCAAGAATGCCTATCATCTCCAGACACGCTCTTCTAGCCACCTCTGAATACTCGCGTTTGAAATTGGTCATAAATATTTTTGTTCCTCAACTTTTAGATATTATTATCTAGGTACTTTCTCGAAAAAAAAAAGACTGTATAAAAATGAATTGTTTCAGTCGAGAAAAAGGAATTAACTTCCTCAGTTCTCAACTATATGTTGCAGATTTTCATAATTAAATCAAAAATGATTAGCCAAGGAATACTTGTAATTCAGCATTCTTTATTTTGCCTTATACTATTTTTCCCAGAACCGCCTATCTTTAAGGTAATGATTGGTGCTCCGGAAATTTTGTAAAGGAAGAAGGAAGTAAAAGAACTTAAGAAAGAGAATATAACTGAAGAAACACTACTGTGCCGATGTACAAACGAAGTCTGGCAAGCTCAAGCTTTACGTTGGTTTAGAAAAGGAAAATTCATCTCATTCTGTACCATCAAAAAGAAGGTAAAAAAAGATGATTCTGTGCCACCAAATATTATCGCCCTGTATTATATTTAAAAAATTAAATAATGAAGAATCTCTATAAATGGCTGCAAGTTTCTCGCATTGTGAGAAATCAACAAAACCAAGAGCCATCATATTCTGAATAATGTAGTCCTCCATCCGAATATGGACACTAGGAAGCCCGAAATCTTAAATTTCGAATTTGTTTTATTATTTATTTCACATTTTTTAAACTTGAACGAATTTTTAATTAAGAAACTCAACGATTTCAAAGCCATTTGTACGGAATAAAATATTTTTATATCCAGCACGCGAGACTGTCTATCGGAAATTATAAGGATAAGCTATTTTTAAGCTATTCTGGAAACGCGTATGTATGTATAAAAAAAGCGCTCCTTTGAACCTAATTAAAAATCTGAAAACTTTCAGAAATTTTTTTTTTTTTTGAAAATCTCTGAATAACAATATTTTATTGATTGTATTTATATCATAGATAAGAAACTTATATGTACATAAGTAACCATATTTAATCTAAAAGAAGGGTAAAAGTCAAGTTAAGTTTAATAAATGATGCGAATAAATGAGAAAAGAGATTAAAAAATCAAAATTGTTTCGACTCTTCAAAATATCACTTTTAAGCTTTTTCCATTAGAATACATTACACATGTTTATTATATTTTATATTAATTATTTTATTTTTCTTACTCCAAAAAATACCTAAACAGCATGGGAGGAGTGACATAAGCTTCAACAATCTTAGCATTCAATATTTTAAAACGCAAATATAACAATATTTTGTCAACACTTTCTCATTTCTTGAAACATACCTTGTTAATTTTATCTTTCTTTATAATCTGAGAAAATGCACTTTCAAGGAATTTCAAACAATTGCAAAACATTTGATTATCCGATTTTCATTTCTAGTTCCTATGCTTAATTTCCTTTTCACCCTTCCGCAAATCTTTTAAAA